GAGGAAAGGGTTTATCTCATCTTAGAGCTTATAGCCCATCATGGAGGGAGGTCAGGGCAGGAACCTGGAGGCAGGAACTGAAGCAAAGGTCATGGAGGGACACTGTTTACTTACTGGCTTGCTCTCCAAGCTTGTGTTCACCCACCTTTCTTGTCACCCCAGGACCACCTATCCAGTCAACAGTAGACCAGGGCCTCCCACATCAATCATTGATCAAGAAAATGATCCCACAGACTTTCCCACAGGCCAAGCTGATGGAGGCCCTGACTCAAATGGGGTTGCTTTTCCCCATGTGACTGTAACTTGTTTGCAGTTGACAAAACACTAGCCGACACGGGTGTCTTCACAATGGCTATATAGGCAACCAGAGGTAGCTTCCTAAGGCTCACTGTTCCAGCTTCAGAAGTCCACCTGTGGCAAACAGCTGCCTGCCAGAGCAAGAGGAAGGGTACCTAGAAACCAACACAGAAAGGAAGTGCTACCAGGGCTGGGTGAAGTGCCTAGTGCAGATTCAGACATGGGTTCCATACAAAAACAACAGCTACACCCAAAAGGCCAGCTATTGCACATCTAATTCATTTTGAGGAAGAAAGTAAATGCTCTGACTTCAGCACCTGAGCCAAAGGCTGAGTAAACAAACAAATGAGGCCTGAGAGCGTGGCTCTGTGATCAAGCACTTGCTTAAACATGGGGAAAACTCTAGGTTCAAACCCCAGCATAGCACATAAAAATAATAAGCCCTTGTTCTACATAAACTAATAAACTTGGCATCATAATCGTTAGTCTATGTATTTTCATATTGTTAAAACACTATCGCGATGCTTAAATGTTGGGAAGGTGAAAGGAATTCCAGTGAGGTCCCTGCAAGGCCTGAGAAAGGATGTAGATGCTGCCACTCTGGGAACACCTCCACTCTGGGAACACCTCCATTCTGGGAACACCTCTACTCTGGGAGCACCTCCATTCTGGGAACACCTCCACTCTGGGAACACCTCCATTCTGGGAGCACCCCCTACTCTGGGAGCATCTATGCTCCAGCCTCTGCCTGGTTTCTGTGAACAAAAATGCAGAACAATTAGCCAGCTTGGCAGAATAGAGCAATTAACTGGACCTACCAAGGACTGTACCAGAGCAACCAGGGCTGCCAGAACTAAAGAGCTTGAAACAGAGAGCTAGCCCCATTATACTAGCTTCCCCCTGAGGTCAGTGAGACTCATCTAACAAGGGCTTACATCCACCCACGCTGTCATTACTGGAAAGAAAACTGTAGAGGCAGGACCAGTACTGGATACACCATGCACAGAGTTGCTGAGATAAGGGCAGGCCATGGTTCCCAAGGGTGATGAAAGGAAGGAGAAAGGCATAGGCCTTCACCCCAAGACTGTGTCTTCTAGACCCTGTGGGAACTTCGAGTCCATTCTGTAGAAGTGAGTTTCTGGGGTAGGAACAGGACTCAGCTGTCCAGCATTTGCATAGTAAGCATGATGTCAATATCTGGCCCAACAAAAAAGACAATCAAATGAAGTTCAATTGAACTAACATCAATTTACTCTCTTTAATAAGGAAAAAAGGTCGATATTTTAGAAACATTTTCAGAAGTGAATTTCTTCTATCCTCTGCCCATTAAAGGCAAATTATTTCAATGAGGGAAAGGAAGAAATGGGTGCAAATATCCTGGGGATCTTTTTATAGTATGGAGTGTGAGAATGTTAATTAAAGGAGTCTCAGAAACAAACGCAGAGGGCCTGAGAAGGGAAGGAATGAAAGTTTAATTTTAGGTGTTGTTTTATCTAGTTCACAACAAAGAGTCATTTCCCTGAATTACTTGCAGCTATTCTCAGGAACTTCATGCCTCCCCCCCCCCAAAAAAAAAGCTCCAGTTGAAAGTGTGAAGCATAGAAAACCAATTTAATGAAAACTTCTCCCAGAGAAGGACCTGTTAAGAGTGAAGAGCACAAATTAGCAAACCCTGGGGCACTAAGTGAGCATCCGAGAAGAGCAGAAATCATCTAAACAGTGTTCTTCACACCGTTGTGCATGTCCATCTTTGAAACTGAACATGTGAAAAAGGAAAGCAAATGCTTCTACTCGAGACTTTCCAGAAGTGAGTGACACTGAACCTGTCAGAACCCATCAGATGACACTTCTCTGAGGTGACTAATAATCAACTAGTGACAACTGTCACTACCCTTCCTGGGGACCACACTCTGACCAATGAGGCTACAGACAAGGACTCTAGTCCTCCTTGGATGCTGAAAAAAGTTTTTCTATTTTGTGAGTCCACAAGCTGAGTGGCAAGATTACCCACTCACTTTGCTGGTGACCAAGAGAGCTGGGCCTTCCACCCACCTCTGCTTCCTAGTTCAAGTCATTTGCCCTGGGCCACCCTAAAGCTGTAAAGGGGGCATGGAGCATGTCCACAGGGGGCCAACCACACAGTGGGTGGAAGGGGACCAGCAGGAAGACAGGTGAGAAGGATTTAGGGGTGGATATAAACAAAGTACCATAATGTATGTTGTAGGCATGCACCCAATTCCAGTGGTTACCTGCTGAGATTTCAAGATTCCTGTAGCCAGAAACAAAGAATTGGACCAGGGACGCTTCAAGAGTTTAGAAATGGAGACAGTCAATTAACAAGAAATTCAGGACTGGAGAGATTGCTCAGTGATTAAAGGTACTCAGCACAGGAACAGAATGTGGTTCCCAGTACATAGAGCAGCTTACAAATGACTGTCACTCCAGCTCCAAGGATCTGATATGTGTGTATACAGAAAGACACACATAAATTTGGTTTTAATATAAAACAGAAAAGGAGAGAGACAGAGGCAGGCAAACACCCCAAACTTAGCCCCAGGTCCCTAGATTCTGACTTAACAGTCATCCACATAGTATTCACCTTTCCCCGCTTTTGGATGTATGTTCTCACACATGCTCTGTCTCTTCCACGTAGCCCTGGTGAGGAATGGTCTATAGAGCCCCCCTCTCCACCTTATTCTCCTACCACCATATGCATATGTGAAAATTGACATGTCATCTGGGGATGACACACATTACTTGGAAGGCTGAGGCAAGAGGACCAGAAATTCAAGATCCTCCTTAGACTCTTAGTAAACCTAAGACCACCCAAACTTATACAAGACCTTGCCTAAAAATAAACGGGGGGGGGGGGGAATGTCAGCATGGAACCCATTGTTTTGTATTCTAACTAAAAACAAGAAGTTAGTCTGTTTTAAAAATAGATTTTTAAAGAAAATCTGGCTCTTCATGTGACTGAGGTAGGAAGCTTCTGAAGTGGGGCAGAAGAAAGATGGGTCTTTCAGCACTTTGAAAATACTCACTGTTCTTAATTCAGTGATGTAGCATGATGACCAGTAAGATGACCACCTCTATGTGAGGGACCAGAATTCTTTGCTGTTCTTGTCTTCAGAAGACGACAGCTGGCAATTCACCTCTCCTGAACGCAGCTAGACTTATTTCTAATAGGCATAGTAGACAAGACACGATGTGATTCCTCCAGCAATAAGGAGCAACAGACAGTGTTTATAGAAGAGAAAAAACACAAAGTGACTACAACCCAACGCTTGCCTACAGGCAAGCTACTCAATGGTCCTCTTGGGACCTACGCTGTCTTGGAGTTCCTGACCACAAACCTCAAAACAAAGCCTTCAGCGCATCCTAGGAAATGTGCTGTTTCTCAAGGAATTCCTTTCTGCATTGTTCAAAAGGAACACTGTGATAACTTCCTTTGCTTCTCACCACCCAAGGCCTTTCACCTCGGTGGTCTGCCTGTGACTTCCAACGAGAAAAACAAAAATTCAGGCTCCCTGCCTTGATCCTCCAGCAAATTTACAAATCAGACTACACTGATCTTAGTTTGCATCTGCTCTCCTCTTTATGTATGTTGTAGGCATGCACCCAATTCCAGTGGATACCTGCTGAGATTTCAAGATTCTGTCTATTATGCCTGTTTCTCTCCAGGGCGAATCCCTTCCCTCCCATCTTCTTAACCTCCTCTCTCCACTTATTCCTTCTCTTCTGCAATTCAGCCATTTTCTTGACTGGCTTTCCTTCTCCCAACTTCCGAATGCTGGAAGCCTCCCGGAGGCTTCTGGCCTCCACTCCTCTGTCTACTAATTCTATCTGCCTTGAGGCTTCATCCTGCCTCATGACTTTAGAACTAGCTACATGTTAATGACTCAAATATTTGTAGTTCCCCCCCCCCCAAATTCCAAAGAACTTTTCTTTGGTCATTCTAGAAACCAAGCCCTTTCATCCCATTTTCCTTCCAGACTCCCTATCTCAATGAATAGCACTCCTATTTTCCCAGCTGCTCAAGCCACCTCCATCTCAGGCTTTATGCTTTCTTATGTGCTTTTACACATCAGTACCTTTGTCTTTATGATATTGCTTTAAAATTCTCTTTCTTGTTCCTCCGGACTTAGTCAGTTGTTATCACCATGGTGATACCTCCTCTGGCCAACCATCCTGTAAAACTCAGCAGTCCCCTCTTCCCAGATGTAGCAAAAGTTTACCACAGGCTGCACTTCAGGCTTTACATTCATTAACTCTTCATTCTTCCAGGCCTAGGAAGTGGGCTTAGTTTTTTATTACAGTACCAATCTTAGGAACAACACAACTGAGTATAAAGAGCAAATGGCTGGCCAAGCCATTAGAGCAGGTGGTTCCAGAGTTTCACCCTGTGTCCCTGCAACACAGCAGTGGATTCTTGACCACTCAGTCACTCAGTTTCCCATGACCTTCATGCTTCCTCTCCGCATTTCTACTCTGGAAGCAGCACTCTGTTTAGATGTTTCCATTGGAAAACAAGCAACATATGGACAGAGACCATTGTTCATAAATAAATGAAGATCCATTTGGAGTTGGGAAATTAGAGTTTTTATATCAATGGCTACTCTTGATTTATTACCCAGACTTGATCTACATCTCTATGGCCACAAATGATATGAACACATTGTTTCTATGCTTTATATATTTTTCAGAGCAGATATACTATGCTGGCCCTGTCAATAATCCTGGACTTGATGTTCCACAGGTAAGGTTTTGATTTTCTGGTTTGTGTTGTTATGTAATTATTGCACCGAGGAATAGATCCTCAACTCTTGGAGGAGAAAAAAGAGGAAGAAGAGAAGGAAGAAGATGAAGACGAGGAAGAAGAGGAAAATAAGAGGAGGATAAATAAACTTAAGTAGTTGAAAGTGTTAGCACATGCCATAATTAGGATGCATAACATGCTGCCTTTGTCCTTTTGATGCGTTGTATTGGTGTTCTGTTGAAGGTTTGGGGGTGAACCAGAACAAGCTCAACTGAGAGTTGAAATGCCAGCATCTTGTCCACAGGTTTGGAAGTGTGATTGTGGGGACCCCATAATGCCAGAATTGCATTGGGACGTGAAGGAGGCAACTAGCTTCTGGCAGAAAGGACCGTTAACAAACCCACAAAGGCTTCAATGTCTCACTGTGTCTTCTGGGATTTTAGTCTGTTTCTGTTTACTGTGTAATGTATAAAGGACAGGAGTAGGGGAGATAGTTCTGCTGGGAAAGTGCTCACATTACAAAAAGAAGGACCTGAGTTTGATCTCCAGAGCCCACATTAAAAAGTCAGGTAAGGTGGCACATGCTTATAATCCAAATGCTGGAAAAGTAGAAACAAGCAGACCCCTGAGATTTCCTGGCCAGCCAACCTAGCAAGTTTCAGATCAGTGAGAGATCCTGACTCAAAATAAATAAATAAATAAACAAACAAATAAATGAAAAAGGAAAAACGTAGACAATACATGAAGAGTGACACCCATGACTGTCCTTGTTCTCCATATGCATGTGCACATACAATTATATATGCATATTCAACATACACATATGTCTGCATGTCACAAATATGACCACATACACACATGTACACAAAAGAACAAAGGTATAATTAGCCCAGGATAAAGGAGGAACATCTGGTGAGGATCTCCTTGCTGCTGAGGACTTTGAAACATCCTAAGTCTGCACAGCACATTAGGGACAAAAGGAGTCAAAGTGGTTTTTAAAACATACTCACTCCTGAGAAAAACCCATTGGCTCTTCAACCTATTAGTCCATGAATGAATGAACGAATCCACTCACAGGACATATTCCCCTTAAAGGTCCCAACAGGTCCCACATCTTCTGACCTCATGCTGGGGATTAAGTTTCAACAGACTTTTAGTGAGGACACTCAAGCTATAGCAAGGCCTCACCAAGTAAACGAAATGGCCCATCCTGTGCATTCACCTTCAAGACTCAAAGCTAAGACGAGGATTCCCCATGAAATAACATTGTTTCAGAAACATGTGGATTTAAGCTTTCAGATTCTTTTCTGTCTTTTGAGATCTGAGGGAGACATGGAGTCTCTTCCGTGAGAAATCTCTTCAGCTTCCTTTCAGCTGAGTGTTTCCTTCCTGTCTCATACTATGAGCTCCTAAGTCTTGGGTCTCCATAGGAACCCCACTCATACCAGGGGTCTACAGTCCTCCCTCTGGAGGACTTCTCCAGTGATCTTCTCTGGCCCTTCTGCAAAACACACGATTTCTGCCAGGCAGGGAAACCCAATCTGCCCTCACTCTTAGTGTACACGCCTGAACTCTCCCAGGGAGCATTTCTTCAAATTGTTGCTACTTAAATGCTTTTTCTTTCCTCATTCTCCTTCTGATACCCCACTAGAGACTGATCTAATAATTGCTAACACTTGGATTTCATTTTGCTTTGCTGGCTTTTTAAAATCAGTTACCCTTAGCAATTCCTATGAAACCAAGAGGGCGGGGCCTTAAAGTCACAGAAGCTCTTTGACAGGAAATTTACCCTCAGAGACATATATAGGTAGATAGATATAGATATAGATATAGATGATATAGATATAGATATAGATATAGATATAGATATAGATATAGACATAGATATAGATATAGATATATTATAGGTGTTCCTCATCTTAACTCAGGGATACAGACCAGAAACTCTGCAGGAGCTGAAAATAGCATAAGTTGAAAATGCATTGACTCCACCCAGCCTACAAAAAAACATCACCACTTCACCGTATGGGTGACAGAAGAATCCTGTCATTTGACCACGTATTCTCATGGCCAGGCACTGTGACTCACCCACACTGTTCATCATGGAAGGAGGTTTGAAGTGAGTGGCACTGGCCTGGAGAAATGAAAATTCAAAATGCAAAGTATAGATCCTATGAGTCCTTTTTTTATCTCCCACCATTGTAAGTGGGCATCATGTTGTAGTCATCTACAGTGTTGCAGGGAACTCCTTCCCTGCTGTCTTCCACCAATAAACAGCTCTTCAAGAGATATGCTCCTATGTAAGCCAGATTTACAGTCAGGAGGCTGGATCCTTCCCCTCCTCTTCTGTAATCCCTAACTGGGAAGCAGCCACCTGGCAAGCTCCTTACCCACACCCACCCTGCAGAGCCAACAGAAGACATCGTTTCCACACAGGCCTATCCAGAAGAATAGCTGGGTCCTTGATCCCAAGAGGGGCTGACCACATTGGCCACAAACAGCCACAGTGTGCCCAGGGCCTCCAGCTCACATCCAGGGGCCACACAGAGACCTCTGCTTGCAGTTAGTTGAGAACATGTTAATGAAGGGCCTACTCACATCCCCTCCTTCACCGAGACCCCCAGAGATGGTCTCTGAACTAATAGAGGTTCCTCTTTAACCAAAAAACATTTCTACTCAGTACTTACTTTTCAGTATCTTGATTATTTTTCTTCTTTCTTGAAAAGTGTTTATTTGTGTGTGTGTGTGTGTGTGTGTGTGTGTGTGTGTGTGTGTGATGTACTTGTTAGGGTAGGTGTGTACACATGTGCATGCAAATGAATGTGTAAAGGAATGTGTATGTGTGAGTATAGAGACCTGAGGTCTCCATTGGATATATTTTCTCCATCTCATTCCATCTTTATTTTTCACATTTATTTGTGTGTGTGTGTGTGTGTGTGTGTGTGTGTGTGTGTGTTACAGCCACATGTCATGGTGCATGTGTAGAGTTCAGAGGACAACTTGCAGGAGTCAGTTCTCTCCTTCCACCATGTAGGTTCTGAAAATCAAACTCAGATTAGCAGGCTTGGCAACAAGCACCCTTACCACTGAGCCATCTTGCCATCCCTGCACCTTTAGTTTTGTAGACAAAGTCTCACACTGAACCTTAAGCACATCAATTTAGCTGGACTGGCTTCAGGAATCCACTTATTGCTGTGGAACAATCATTGCTTACTGGAAACGTGTATTACACTTCTTGGTTAATAAAAGAGCTGCCTGGCCAATAGCTGAACAGGTAGAGATTAGGAAGGACTTGCAGACAAAAATAGAGAATGAAGGGCTGGAGAGATGGCTCAGAGGTTAAGAGCACTGGCTGTTCTTCCAAAGGTCCTGAGTTCAATTCCCAGGAACCACATGATGGCTCACAATCATCTGTAATGAGAACAGGTGCCTTCTTCCAGCCTACAGGCAGAACACTGTATGCATAATTAATAAATAAAATTTAAAAAATAGAGAATGAAGAAGAAGAGAGGACTCTCAGGAGTCAAGGAAATGAACTTGCTGCATTGAAAGAAAGGTACCACCATGTGACAGAGTGTAGATAAGGAATATGTATTAATTTAAAATGTAAGAGCTACTTAGTAACAAGACTGAGCTATCTGCCAAGCATTTATAATTAATAATAAGTCTCTGTGTAGTTATTTGGGAACTGCCTGGTGGGACAGAAAAGTCCTCCTATAACTTTTCTCCACTCTCACTTCAACCCCCAGCACTAGATTTTTGGGACACACTGCTACCTCTGGATTTTTGCAGATATTCTGGAGATACAAATTCTGCCCATCAGACTTTATAGCAACTAAGCCACCTCCCTATTGTAAAACTTCTTTTAATTGATGGATAATAACTGTGCACATTTATAGAGTTCAATGTGACATCTCAGGATACATACAGAGTATATATTGACCAGATCGGGATAATTGACATAACCATTGTTATCATTTCTTTGTGCTGAGAAAGGATAGTACCAGCTAATTAATATAAATAAATAAATATAAATGAATAAATAAGCCCTCTCGATCAGCTTATTTTCCTTTTAACACAACTATCTCTTGACCCAAGTTAAAGTCCTGCATATAATCTTATATTTTTCTGTGTCTGCTCTTTTCTGAATTAAAAGTGGGGGCTCCTTTGGTCTTCCAAAACATATGGGTACTTTCTCGGTACAACCTGGACTATAAATTGCCAAGAACATGGATACATACTTCTATCCCACACTTTTGGTGCCCACCTCAGCCCCAGAAACAGACTGCTCTCTGTCCATTGCCCCTACCCTGGCCCCCTATCATGTAGCCCATGTCTCCATCTGCCCTCAGAAAGGTTCCCTGAACAAGTTCACCCTTTATATAAAAACATGTGTATCTTGTCATTCATAATCTGGAGCCCCTTCCTTCAAGTGTTATAGGCTAATGGCACTTCCAGACTCTTAAACAGCAGCCAGAGAGTTCTCCCTAACATGTCTGAGAAAACTGTTACACCTGAGTCACTTTCAGACTTGAAGCAAAGACCCCATTGTGTCTGCCAAGCCCTGAGACTCTGGCCTCCTGTGGACTTATAAGCTCCCTTTCTCTCCCTCCTCCCTGAAGTCCCATTGGTTCTTGTCACTTTCTCAGATATGGAGACATCGGCCCTACAGTCACATGGAACTCTCTTGCATTTCTTTCAGGTCTTTGCCTAAAGGTAATTCTCTCTCCAAAACTCTCTTTGATCGTTCTACTTAGAGTTGCAAGCTAACATCAGTCCCACTGAACCTCGCTGTCTTTTCCATCCCCTTCCTGCATGAATAAACATTCTGCAAGAAGGGGGTGGAAAAATCTGCAGAAATTCTGCCTCTGCAGGTCCCTTACCCTGGGAACTTTTCATCTCTCCCAGGGAAATGCGAGCTATACAGGGCAGGGAGTTGGTTTGTGTTGTTCTAGTTTATCTACAGCACCTGGAATCATGCCCGGCATACATAAGGTACTCAATAAATACAACTGTTCCAGGACTCTCTCAAGCACCAAAATCCACAGATATTGCCAGAAAGATGGCCTAGCAAGTAAAGGTGCTTAATGATCTGAGTTCTGTCCTGGGATTGGTCCCACATGGTGGAAGGAAAGAACCAATAACCACAAGTTGTCCTTTGACATCCCCCAACATATACAACCATAAGCTGTGGCATGTACACGCCAATACCAATACACATATACACACACATCAAAACAGAGATAGATATATTTTTGTAACTGAAAAACATTTAATACAAGATTCTCAAATCCCTATTTAAAATAGCATAGTCTTTGCAATAAAACCTATGCTCATGCTTGGGTTCACTTTAATTATTTCTAGATAACTTACAATGATTGATATTATATAAGTTGATCATTATACTAGACTGTCCAAAGCATCTTAACAAGACAAAGAAGTCTAAACATGTTTGGCACAAAAACAACTTTTTACATATGGCACTGTCCTTGAATGGAGAAGGAACTGGCTGTATTTATTAAGTGGTTGATTGTATTGTGGATCAAATGCCTAATGCTTTACCTGTGTCCCTTGCAGGGTGAATACCAGGTGTTGTTGGAACTGTACAATGAAAACCATGCTACTGTGGCTTGTGCCAATGCTACTGTCATCTCCTCCTGACCATGGCCTGCCAGAAAATGCACAGCAAGCTCAGCCTCGGGGGAAGCCAAGGTCCCCAGACTCAGCTGCCTGTAAGAACCACTGGTGACCAAGAGAGGTTCTACAAAGGAATTCCTCATGGGTCCCTCTGCCATTCTTAGCCCCAAGAACAGATGTTCCCAGACCCCACAGATGTAATAAAGCCTTTGAAACTATCTGTTTCTGAGGGCCCTAAGTAGCCTTGAGGCCATTTGTAATGGCTCTCCTTATGTAATTACATCTCATCAGACTTACATCCTTGTCTGCTCCTTAAGGACACTTCCTTGCAGTTGCCCAAAGTTTAAAAACAAACAAACAAACATTGGGCTGGAGAGATGGCTCAGAGGTTAAGAGCACTTGTTGCTCTTCCAGAGGTCCTGAGTTCAATTCCCAGCAACCATATGGTGCCTCACAATCATCTGTAGTGAGATCTGGCACCCTCTTCTGGCCCACAGGCATGCAGGCAGATGCATGCAGGCAGAATACTGTATACATAATAAATAAATAAATCTAAAAAAAAAAATCTCACTGGCATCTGTTCATTGTGGCTTGTTCAATGACTTTTAGTACAGTCTGTGGTTAAAGAGATCCAAGTGTTGGCCTCTGGCACAGCACAAGTAGCTCTCAGAAAGCCAAGAGGATGATGTCCTGCCTCAAATCAGAGCTCCAAGATAATGTGTCAGTGCTGTTCCTGGGCCTCAAGACCAAGACGGGGAGATGCTGATGAAACCCCACCAAGAGTGACGTCACCCTCCCACTGATGCACATACTCTTTACCTTCGTCTTCTGTGTCTGTCAGCCCTCCATCTCTGTAGCAAATCCCTACAACTAATTGAAGAAAGGAGAATGGATGCTTGGCTCACAGCTTTGGAAGTTTCTGCTGGTGACTGTGGTCTTTATGCTTTAACCTATGATGGAGTGTCACTTTATGGCAAGAATATGTAACAGAATTAAGGAGGACAGGATCCTATAATCCCCTTCAAGACGATAACTCCAGTTACCTGAAGACCTTCTGGTAGGCCCCTTCTCTTCAAGGCTGCATCAGTTCTAAATAGCACCTCTCTAGGGACCAAGCTTTAACTCATTGGTTTTCCTGGACAGTCAAGATTCAAACTTAGCATCCCCAAAGCCTGCCCTCAGCCTGCCCTCAGCGCACCTGGTACTTATTCTTGTTTGTTCATTCATTTGGGCGATTACATAAGGCTGAATACTTTACATATCAGGTACTATGGTCTAGGGATACACTTAGAAACAAAAGGCATTGCCCCCTACTGTTGTGAGATACACACACACACACACATACACATACACACACACACCTGCACCTGTTGCACTGACCACATCCACTGGGGCGTGGGGATAGCGGCATGACCTGGGGAGCTAGGTCTGGGGTCCCAGACCCCAGCTCACTCTCTAGCTTCCTGGTCTGAGACAGAGAGCATCTGGAGGCATCCTTGGGATAGAAACCTGCTGGCAGTCATCTGTTCCTGGTGTAAGTGATTTCATCCCGAATAAATAGCCATCAGCCTGTTCGTTTTCCAAGATTCTTATTTATCCACAATACCCTACCTCCTCAGAATTGCCAGTCCCCTGAACTGCTTAGAAGCCATGTGTCCAGTTGTGGGTGCATTCACTCACGTCACTCACATGTCCCTCCTTCCGTATCTGTTAGTTGACTTCCTGCTCCCTGGCTCTCCGGAAGCCATACCTTTCCATTTCTTGCATGTGCAGGTCGCTGGCAGATTTTGCAGCTGCTTCATTCCCATCTCCTCCTAGCAGGATCCCTGTGCCTCCTACTGCATGGTAAAGGTAGGTGGGTTGACTTATCACCTGCCCATTCTTAACATCTATAAAAGTGTCTTTGTGTCAGATTAGAGGAGATAAAAGTTTCCTAGTCAAAAGCATGTTGTTTGCTTTGAATTCTTGTAGGTATATAACTAAATCTCTGAGAATGGCCGGCCAGCCAGTCGGCACTAAACCACCTGGGATGGCCAGCTGTACATGCACAGTAAGGTAGTGCTTTAGAGGTGAAAACAGGAAAAAATGATAGCAGTGTCCCTGTGTGGGCCCATAATGCTCCCAAGGAAAACACAGTCATGACAGGCTAAGAGCAAGCCTCTAATTACACAACCATTCTGATCCTTCCATTCCCTCTCACTCCCGGTATGTGTCTCATTCCTTTCTCAGTACATTCCTATACTGACTTACAAAAACACAAACAAAAAAGACCCCAACAACTCAATAGAGTGTGAACTTATTCACCCGTCCCAGCTAAGGACAGCTGTCTCAGCCTCCCAAAGGCATCGCAGATCCCAGCCATTAGTTTCCCTTTCCCCGTTTTGAACCTGGCAGCCTCTGTGGTGTGTGTGTGTGTGTGTGTGTGTGTGTGTGTGTGTGTGTGTATGTGTGTGTGTATACACGTGCTCATGAGCTTGAACACACATTCAAGCATAATGCCAGAGACATAAACATTCATTCAGATTATATATGTTTGAGTTAAATGAGGACTATCAGTCATAGAGCTGAACCCCGGCATGACTGTGAGAATATACTCACACACATACAGTTTCACTAAAAATATGATTTGTGAGAAAACGTTCCTCTGTCCCCACATGTATGTGTGTGTGTGTGTGTGTGTATATATATATATATATATATATATATATATATATATATTCCTAATGCCTTATCCAACGCCTTTGTTTTCACCATGAGTTCCATTTTTGAAAATTGAGAAGAAAAAAAAAATCCCAGAATTTGAGAGTCTCTTACAGACTGCAGTTAGACCTGGTAAGAGAAATAGCCAGACTCAGTCTGGTGGAAACCAGTGATGTGCTGTGTGGTGGAAGGCGGGTGGTGTTAAGAAGCAGTTCCCAGGTAGGCATAGCTCCACTTCTCATCAAAAAGTCGCCTTCTGCAGCACACAGAGACTGTGAGGGAAACCACAGCTGCTGCAGTGTCCCGCCCACAGGACTGATTGACTGCAGTGCCCCGCCCCACAGGACTGACTGACTGCAGTGCCCCACCCCAACTGATGATGATAGGTCTCAAAACAGCTGAGGTTGTCCATTAACACATCAGAGCAGACCTGGCCACCAGGTTCTCCTGCATCCTTCAGTCCCTGCCAGTTACAGAGTATGGCTGGCACACCCTGACCCCTACCCTAAACTTCTCCAGCCCAGGGGCTGGGCTGCCTTTCCCCCAGATGCCCTTCCTTATATAATTCATCCATTTGGTTACCTACCCTCTTTTTTGGTCTCTTGGTCTGCCTCTCCCCTCTCCCTCTCCTCACATGGCCAGCTCAGTCGGGTTAATTTCACTCTGGATTCTCCCGAGTGTGCCTGCCTCTGACTATAGTCTCCCTTTTTTTCTGCAATAAACTTTCTCCTCCACCATACTTAGGACCAGTCATATCCTTTTTTTTTTTTTTTTTTTTTTCTCTCTCTCTTCTTATTCAGATACATATACAACACAACCTCTGAACAGGGAACTCTCCAGAGTACCAGGCAGAAAGACTGTAAGAGTTGTAAGACCAGGAAGTCTGCTGCAAGATTGTTTTCTAGATACGACAGCAAAGGTACACCCATGAAATGTCAACATCATGGCTGCTTAATCAAGACCCAATCAATGACAACAGCAGTTGACATGCTATCAGTGATGGAGGAATTCTCCTGGGACCCTAGATAAAGAGCTGCAAGCAATTAAGACTGCCGAGAGAAATCAAATACTAATATTCCCCAGGGATGATGCTCATAAATGGTTATACAATCCCAAGGGGTCAGTCACAAAGATATATACAAACAAGCAAAACTAAATAGACCAGGCAGGTGGCATTTATATATTTCTTTGCATATATATGTAACAACACAATAACGATTAATTAGTAATTGAAGAGAAAGTGGCCATGAATTTGAGGCGGAAAAGAGAAGTTTGAGGCTGGGGGGGCCAGGGTTGAGAGGGGATAGTGTGATTATATTTTATTTAAATAAAGAAGTTTCTTTTTAAGTGGGTACCCAGAGCCAGAAATCTAGGTGATGTGGTAAGGGAAGGCAGAGGGCAGGGAAAAGACCTGGATTGCCTATCAAATAATTCAAGTTTATTTCTCTTCTCCTAAAAAGACGTTGCTACTATTTTCAAATCACTATGGAAAACTCCATGAGTTTGTCCAACCTCTGAGATGAAAAAGAGAACCAGTTTGGAAAGGATTACACTATCACCACAATCTCCAGCCATTGCCGTAGTCCCTATGGGCCCTTCTATATTTATACTTTGAGGGGAATTTCAACCTCTCTGCATAGAATATTATTGAAGTATCTTTTAAGGGAATGCAGAGTCTTGGGAAAGTTAAGGCACGGATCTGGGTAAAATGCCCAGCAGTATGATCCTCTTCCCGGAAGTCACTCACTGTGTCTAAAATGTGTGTGTATGTGTTGGGGGTGGGGGTACACTAGCTGTCCCCTGTAACTCCGGACACCCGGGGACTTGGCTGTTAGCCGGGTTTTCCATAGTCAGCCTTTCACTTACTTCTCTTCCATGCTTCCCTTCAAGACTGCCCGAACGTGGACTTCTTCCTCAGACAGTCTCCTTTCAACACAGGCACAGAAAGAGACGATTTGCCTTGAAGACTGTTCTTTGCTCTGATTGGACTGGCTTGTGTCACATGACCAATCAGGCCAATCAGTTTGAACCGGCACTGGTTGGCTTATCTAAGTCACATGCCCCAGGACTTGCTCCTGAATCACAGCTAAAAAGATATTTGAGGTTGAGAACGCGTGTGAGAGTGCAGCAGTTTCTGCGATCATGGATGCTTCTTCCTCCGCTGCTCATTGAGCGATGATCTGTGTCTTCTGTTTCTACCTGTATGTCTAAAGTGTAGCCATGATAAATAAATGCTCTGTAAAGATGAACAGATACATGCTGGTCACTTTCTGTCACTGACAACAAACTGCCTGAGAAAATGAACTTGGTAAAGAAAAGGCCCGATTGCTTCACAGTTTGGGGGCGGGGGAGGGGGGGTTGAGCCCATGGTCACTTGGTCCCATTGCTCTGGTTTCTGTGCTGACCCAGTGCACTGCAATGGAGGTGAATGACCAAAGCCACTGCTTACCTTATGGCAGCTGGGAACCAGAAGAAAAGCAGTAATCCTCAATGGAAAGCCCAGTGGCCTGCCTTTCCCCC